ATTGCTTTCCCAGCTCCCATAGATGCAGCCTTGGCCACTGAGGGCATGAGGGTAGTAAATCAGCAGGTAAGAAAGCTTTCTGTTTCACTGACTTTCAAATGAATAGTTATTTAAAAAATAGGGAAGTGGAAGCTTAAAAATTCTAAGTTCTAGGCATTCTGGGTTGATTGTGAAGAAGTTGTTAGTTGACTCTTTAGAACTCTTGTTGTAGGGACTTTGAGTTAAAGTTCTGCTGTCATTGCTTGTTTGTATACTCAGTCTCTCACTTTATACAAAGAAACTACAGAAAACCCCTTTCCATGAGGAAGGAGCTTGGGCTGATAGGACTAAGCCTCTTTCTGTGTGTCCTCTTGTGATCCTATAAAGAGAAGAGATGTTGAATAAAGCTGTTGCCTTCTTTGGATGAAGTTCCACCAGTTCTTTTTTTTTTTTTTTTCTTCCTTCATTTTTTTTCCTCTCCCTATTCCATAAAAGAGATGCATGGGATCTTTAACCCTGATAATATCTCACCAAACTATTATTGCTGCACTGCCTAAGGGTTTTTAAAGTTTGCTCCTACAGGGAGGAAACCCAGACATCTCTTTTTGTTTATTCATTGGCTTGTTTGTGGGGATGCAGTTTTATTCTCTCTCTCTCTCTTTTTATTCTCTTTTAAGAAATTGTTTCTTCCTTTCAAAATGGTAGCTAAGCTAGGGGCCAGGAACCATGATCAGTGATGGTGCTAGAATGTGTGACACGTTTTTTTCTTTATCTTTTGATCATTTGTTCCACCACTTGTATTCATGGACAATCTTTTTTCTTTCTCAGAAATGCAAAGATTTGATATTTATGTCTATTCTTTAGGGGTGGATATTGACAAAAATAAACCCTTTGGCCTCTTTTACTCTAGTTTACATAGGACTTCATAGCAAAATTTTAAATGATTTCTCCAATTGTTCTGGCCTAATTCATAGAGTTGTGCGGACAAAATGTCAGCTACTAATGAAGTTCACTCTGCCTTGCTTCATCCTTGTGTATCTGTATATCTCCTTAGAAGAACAGAGGGAGGGAGAGATGGAGAGAGAGAACAAGAACACCGGCCAAATGCCATCTCAATTTCATTTCATTTCATTTTATTATTTCCCAAAGAGCAAACTAGATAGCATTTTAACTCCCAGTAAGGAAACTAATTTATGCACATTCAAAACAGAATGCAAATGACCCAGAGCTAACAAGTGAGAAAAAGTTTTTTAAAGGCAATTTTGAAATCCAGTTTTGCAAGTCCTTATCACTTCCTTTTCATTTTTATTATATTTTGAAGGTTTTCAGTCACTAATTAAAAAAAAATTTCCATCCTATTCTTTCTGTTCTTTCTAGGAGACCAATTCTGAGTATATATTGGGCTGTTTTAATATATCCCATAGGTCACAGGAACTCTGTTAATTCTTGACCATCTTTGGCTTTCTTCTCCTTTCATTTTGGTTTGATTGCTTTGATATGTTGTCAAGATCATGCATTTAGGCCGGCACCACGGCTCACTAGGCTAATCCTCCACCTGCAGCGCAGGCACACCGGATTCTGCCCCGGTTGCTCCTCTTCCAGTTCAGCTCTCTGCTGTGGCCCGGGAGTTCAGTGGAGGATGGCCCAGGTCCTTGGGCCCTGCACCCGCATGGGAGACCAGAAGAAGCACCTGGCTCCTGGCTTCGGATTGGCGCAGTGTGCCAGCCGCAGCAGCCATTGGGGAGTGAACCAAAGGAAAAAAGGAAGACCTTTTTCTCTGTCTCTCTCTCTCACTATCCATTCTGCCTGTCCAAAAAAAAAAAAAAATCATGCATTTTTCCATCTAGTGCTATCTATTTTCAGATATTATTTTCATCTATAGAAATTGCATTTTAAAATAGCATCAGTTTATTCTTTACCATGTTCATGTTTTTAAGATTGTTTATATTTTTATTTTTAAAGATTTATTTATTTATTTATTTGAAGGCGAGATCTCCTCTGGCTCACTCCAGAAATTGTCTCAATGGCCAGGGCTGGGCCAAGGGCTCTCTCTGGGTCTCCCATGTTGGTGGCTGGGGCCAAATACTTGGGCCGTCCTCTGTACCTTTCCCAAATACATTATCAGGGAGCTGTATTGGAAGTAGAGCAGGCAGGACTGAGCCCAGTGCTCCAAAAAGGGATGCCCCTGGCATTGTAGGCTGCAGCTTCGCTTACTGCACCACAGTACTGACCCCTGTCTTCATATTTTTAATTAAATACCTGTTCATTGTTACAACAGCTACTTTAACATACTTGTCTATCATCATTTATGTGCCATTTTATGTTGAATGAATTGTTATACATTTTATTGCTTCTTGACCTATATGATGCATTTTGACTGGAGTTTGGACCTTACGAATCTCATATTACTGTTGGAGCTGTACTTTTTGTCATTTATTTTGGATAACTTTATGACTTTGGGCCTCTTTAAAAAGTTTTGTAATGGGGCTAGTGTTGCGGCGTAATGGGTTCAGCTGCCACCTGTGACGTCCCATATGGATGCCACTTTGAGACCCTTCTGCTAAACTTTTTTTTTTTAAGATTTATTCATTTATTTTAAAGTCAGAGTTACATAGAGAGAGAAGTAGACACAGAAAGAGAGGTCTTCCGTCCGCTGGCGTACTCCCCAGTTGGCCGCAATGGCCGGAGCTGTGCTGATCCGAAGGCTGGAGCTTCTGCCAGGTCTCCCACGTGGGTGCAGGAGCCCAAGTACTTGGGCCATCTTCTACTGCTTTCCCAGGCCATAGCAGAGAGTTGGAAGTGGAGCAGCTGGGTCTTGAATCGGTGCCCATATGGGATGCTGGCACTGCAGGCGGTGGCTTAAACCGCTGGGGCCACAGCGCCAGCCCTTTGCTACACTTTTAATCCAGCTTCATGCTAATATGCCTGGGAAAGTAGTGAAAGATGGCCCAAGTCCTTAGGCCTCTGCATCCACATGGGAGACCTGCATGCAGCTCCTGACTCCTGGCTTAGATCTGGCCCAGCTCTGGCAAATATAGCCATCTGGGAAGTGAACCAGTGGATGGAATATTCTCTCTCTCTCTCTCATCCTCTCTCTCTTTCTCTCTCTCCCCTTTCTGTCACTCTGCCTTATAAATAAATAGATAGATAACTTTTTAAAATGTTTAAAAATAAGAACAACAATAACTATATGTACACACATGCATATATAATCCTTATTTTGTGTACCGAAGCTACATAGTCTGGTCTTAGTTACTTCTCCAATTGCATATTCTCTTTTTTTTTATTTCAAGTTTTATTTCGTTTGAAAGGCTGAGCTAGAGAGACAGAGAATGAAATCTTCCATTTTCTATTTCAATCCCCAAATGGTCACAATGACCAGGGCTTGTACAGTCTGAAACCAGGAGCCTGAAACTTCACCCTGGTTTCCACGTGCGTGGTGGGGACCCAGGTACTTGGGCCATCATCTATTGCTTTTCAAGGTGCACTGTCAGGGAGCTGTATGAGAAATGGAGCAACCAGTTCTCAAGCAGAACTCATAAAGGATGCTAGCATCACAGGAGGTGGCTTAACTCACAGCACCACAATGCCAGCCCCCGACATCCTCTTCTCACTCCATCAGATGTGCCCACAACACTGATCTTCATTGCTCCCTGAAGACTGGGGACCATCTTGAGGCTCTGGGAACTTGCATTTAGTGTGTTTTCAACCTGGAATAGTTTTCTTCCAGATATTTTAAAGGTTCATTCCATAAGGTGAATTTATTTGATCATAGACTAGTTGTGACTTCATTATATAAAGTAGTCCACTGTCTTTTCACTGTCATCTCCCTTATCTTGCTAATATTTCATTGTATAACTTTTTTTTAACACTTGACAATGTATTATGATTCCATTTGTTTATATTTTTCTGTCTCTAATACTAGAACATATGCTACTGGAGGAAATAGTTTGTTGCTATATTCCTTATGTGCATGTAGTAGTCCTACAACAAATATTTCTTTAAAAAAGTAGTTTCTTGGGTACATTATACATGATACTGTTCTTCTATCAATATTCTGAATAAGTGACCTACAGTTTCAGAAGTGAATTAATGAGAAATTCTCCCAGCATATGTAATATCTTAAAATGGAAATTTGTATAAAACTTCTGTACTCATTTTTTCATGTTGAGACCATATATTTTTAATTTCTTTGTGATCTTAGATTTAACCACTGTTCTTCCTCTTTGACTATATGAAATATAGTATAGCAACTTGGCTGGTAAGAAAGTGTGCTGTTTTGTATAGCCAACATTGTTTACATGGAATAAATTCCCTTAGGCTTCTTTTACCCTTACCTGTTTAGGGGCATTTCTGAAAATTCTACATTGCCCCACATGAAGAGGTATGAGAAAACCTATTAACCATCAATGAGAGAGTAATATAAAACTTAAGCTCTCTTGCCTCAGTTTAAGACAAACTCTGAGATGTCATTGAACTATCTCCATGAAGGACAGGCTAATGCTGTCCTAACATATTACCGTTTTTGGCTTTTCTTCCTCCCCTAAGTGTCCACTTCCTTACCAGCTCCTTCTGAGAGGACTCCTTGAAAAGCAGAGGTATATGAATCCTATGGGATCGTGTATTGGTTAGGATAGGTTCCAGCAATGAAGTTTTAACAAGTAGAACTCAAATCCCTGTGGCTCATTTCCTCCCAAGGTTACATATTTACCGTGGTTCAGTGATCTGAAGGACTTAGTCAGGGTCCAGTAAGAAACAGATGACATATTTGTACTAGTGTGATTCAAGGAATGTTTCCTAAAGGAGTGATTTACTAAGGTGTCAGCAGATTGTAAGGGAATCACAAGAGAGAATGAGGCCATGACAGGGAATCTGCCATCTTTCACCTGTCCTACCTAAAACAGGAGACTTCTTTGATTGCAGACCTGTGGGAAAAGACTGAGAAATTGAGCCTAGGCTTTAGAAAGCCTCAACCTAAAAATGACATACAGTAATTTTGCTTTCTTCGTTATTGTTCACAGCTATGCATATGGAACCACCTGACAGTGAAGAGACCGTGAGTAGACATTTCCAGTTTCTTTTTTCTCATTTCATTGAAATGTAATTTATATTGGTGTTGTTAGGTTTGTAAACAGCAATGTGAATTCCTTTCCAGGAATGTGATATTTATGGTGGAAGTCATGTCTTTTTCAAATATACTTATCAACTTTTTGAACTTTTATCAGACTTAAAAGTAAGGTACTTCCTGCTGTCAAGTTATTATAATCTCTATTTTTGATCAGTGCAATTTTTAACTTTTTGAATGGTGTGATAGCTGAGCATTGCAAATAGGATTCTGGGTAAAATTAATAATTAAACATTTTAAATGAAAGGATTTCATAAAGTAACTTTCTTTTTTTATATGATCAAAGTGACGACTTGTTGGCAGATGACTATTACATGCCCTTCAATCTGGTGAAATGAATATTTAAAGGAAAAGAGCATATCACGTCATTCCATGTCAAATTATACACATTTGCTATTTGGTTCATTAACATATGGTTGTGGAAAATATGAGTTATAAATTTGTTCCTCTCTTTTTTAGAGCAGTAAAGGTAATAACAAGTTCATCAGTCAGAATAGATTCAATTATGCTGCTATAACAACCAACCCTACAAATCTCAGCCAATGAAATTGACAAGATTTATTTTTAGTTCATAATATGTGAACTGCAAAGGGTAGTTTATAGGCTTAGCTCTACATCACTCTCAGTTAGGGACTCACTATGAAATTGATTGGGTGTCTGGCTATCCTCTCATGATCCTTAAGACAGAAACGTTAAAAATAAGAAATGACACAAGAACTTCTAATGTTTCCACCTATAAGTCATACATATTATTTCCATTATAAATTCATTAAACCTCAAATGCCCTGTATTCAATATTGCAATACTATATACAGAATAGCTTCACCATCTTAAACACTAATGTTTGCTTCTTCTATTATTCCCCTGTCGCTCCCCCTCTTCGTGGAGGAGCAACACAGGACCCTGCGCTGTTCTTTCGTCTGCTCGGCCCTCCCCGGGTTTGCTGCTGGTTCTTCCCGGGTTGGCTACTATCCCTTCCACCTCCGTGGAAGGGCAGTTCCCCCTGGCCGCATTCCCCACTTCCGCAGGGGAGCGGCACACCGCCGGCCGGCTCTTTCGGGGGCTGCACGGGTTCCCTTAGATGTTCCCCATAGATGTTCCCGATGCATGCCGTCTCTCTCCTCCTTTATAGTCCTCCTCCGCCAATCCCAACTCGGCTGCCCACACGCCGAGTACGCTGCTCTCCAATCAGGAGCAAGTCCTACAGTTTATTAGTTGAACTGGAGGCAGCTGTGCGGAAGCTGTTTACTTCTCTCCCAGCGCCATATTGTGGGAGAGCAGATGCATAGAATAAGTCTTAATTCGAGTAACTTAGTCTAGTCCGGATTGCTCCCCACAGATCCCCCTTTCTTTTTATTTTTTAGCGTTGATACGTGCCTGTCTTCGGTGTCCCGCGGCACACACTCTGCTCTACTTGCTAGAGTTGCCACAGGCTCTTACAAGTCCTATCAATCAGGCAAACCGAATCCGGGTCCTCTCTTCGCCATTGTGAGGAGGTTTTTAGGCGCTGATGCGTGCCTGTGTTCGGTGCCCTGCAGCGCATGCTCTGCTCTGCCTGCAGGGGACTTACAAGCTCTATCAGGCAAACCGAATCCAAGCCTTCTCATTGCCTTATTGTGGGGGAGACTTATCAGTGTTGGTTCGTGCCTATCTTCGGTGACCTGCAGCTCATACTCTGGTCGAGCTGCTTGCTTGGCGCTTACCGCCTTAAATCAGGCAGACCGAATCCAAGCTTAATATTGTTGTATTGTGGGGAAGCCTTACTGATGTTAATTCATGCCTGTCTTCGGTGACCTGCGGCGCATAAGCTGCTAGCTGCCCGCAGGTGCTCATCGCCTCACTTGATTAGGCAGACCGAATCCAAGCTCTCACATTGCAGTGTTGTAGGGAGGCCTTTTTATTTCTCTATTTCTCTATCTCCGGGCATTCCTATTTCTCCCATTTTACTTCTATCTTCCAGCATTCCTATTTTTCTCACTTTACTTCTAAACTTCTGTTTCTCTTATCCCTGCGGCTTTCCGGCACCTCGCCCCGCCGGCGGGTTCCCGGCTCTGCGCCGCTTCAGCCCGCGTGCCTCTCTCATCTGCGCAGCTTCCCGGCTTTGCGCGGCTCGGCTTCGCGCGCTCCGCGGTCTCCACGCTTAACCCTTTCGCGTCTGAACCACAGCCTCGCGCCAGCGTTCCCTATCTATTCACGCCCTGTGCTCTCTCTGCACGCGGCGGCTTCCGCGAGTAACACAGCGTAGCTCACGTGTCCGCCACTAGCATTCAATCTAAGTTCCCCGGGCTAGCCTGGCGAATTCAACCCAGCGTACGTCTCCGCCCCACGATCTGGCTTCCCGTCCTTTGCTCCCCGGGCTAATCAGACGGATCCCAATCTGGCTTACGTCTCAGCTTCTGGTTTCAACTTTTCGCCCCCTATTCCCGGGTTAACTTGAGAATCCCAAAGTGGCTTTCGTGTCCGCCTCGGCCTGCCCCCCACGGCTTCAATTTCCCTAACATTTTTCTCTACCCGGTATGTTTCCCCAAGCTTTCCTCCAACAATACTCCTCCCTCATTTCTCCTGGCCTCTCCCCACAGTCCGCGTCCGAGTCTGTTTGTTCTAGCTTTCACTTTCGCTTTCGACCTTAGAGATTTCTCCCAGCTTCCCCCCGTAGTCCGTATCCGAATCTATGCCTAGGCTTTCAATAGCTTCTTCCGGCACCCTTTTCGTCCGGCTTTTCCCTAGGCTGTTTGCTAGTCTCTCTCTCCGGTATTTTCCCAGTTCTTCCCGTTTCTTCCCTCTTAAGTTTGCTATCCGTCCTAGGTTTCCTATCCGAGTCAGGTTTCCTATCCGAGTCACGGCACCATTATGTCACTCCCCCTCTTCGTGGAGGAACGACACAGGACCCTGCGCTGTTCTTTCGTCTGCTCGGCCCTCCCCGGGTTTGCTGCTGGTTCTTCCCGGGTTGGCTACTATCCCTTCCACCTCCGTGGAAGGGCAGTTCCCCCTGGCCGCATTCCCCACTTCCGCAGGGGAGCGGCACACCGCCGGCCGGCTCTTTCGGGGGCTGCACGGGTTCCCTTAGATGTTCCCCATAGATGTTCCCGATGCATGCCGTCTCTCTCCTCCTTTATAGTCCTCCTCCGCCAATCCCAACTCGGCTGCCCACACGCCGAGTACGCTGCTCTCCAATCAGGAGCAAGTCCTACAGTTTATTAGTTGAACTGGAGGCAGCTGTGCGGAAGCTGTTTACTTCTCTCCCAGCGCCATATTGTGGGAGAGCAGATACATAGAATAAGTCTTAATTCGAGTAACTTAGTCTAGTCCGGATTGCTCCCCACATTCCCCCACCCCTGAACCCAGGCCAACAATCAATCTGTTCATCATCTCTATAATTTTGCTTTTGCTAGAAAGGTTTTTAAAAATTACTAATCAAGAATCTACAAATATTTGCATATCAGTTTTATATTGACATAAACTTTGAAATTGACTGAGTAAATACATGGGGGTATGGTACCTGGATTGTATGATATGACTATACTTAGATTTAAAGTAAAACGGCAGTGTTTGTATCATTTGCCTTCCTGCTAGCAATGAATGAGAGGTCCTGTTGTTTTGCATGTTCAACAGCGTATGACATTATCATTTTTCATTTATTAGATATTTGTCACTCTAAGAGGCATGCTGTAGATTTCCTTGTTGTTTTAATTTCTATGACCCTGACAACAGATGTTGATATCTTTTCATATTGCAACTTGCCATATATACATTCACTTTAGTATGTCTCAGATTTCTTGCATATTTATTAATTAGTAGGTTTTCTTATTGTTGAGTTTTTGTATATTTTAGATATTTATCAGTGATGCATTTTGCAAGAGATTTCTGTCAGTCTGTAGCTTGTCTTTTCATTCTCATAGCAATGTCTGTTGCAGATGGAAAATTTGAATTTTAGTGAAGCTCAACTTATTATGTTTTCTTGCATTTGTTGTGCTTTTGGTGTTATATCTATAAGCTCAATACTAAACCAAAGATTATAGATTTTCTTCTAGAAATTTTACAGTTTCATTGTAACTTAGGTTTATGATTCATTCTTAGTTCATTTTTGTGTAAGAGTTAAGGACTACAAGTTCATTTTCTGCATTTGGACATTCAGTTATTCTAGAACCATTTTATTTTTTTAAATATTTATTTGAGGCTGGCGCCGCAGCTCACTTGGCTAATCCTCTGCCTGCGGCGCTGGCACCCTGGGTTCTAGTCCCAGTTGGGGCGCCGGATTCTGTCCCGGTTGCTCCTCTTCCAGTCCAGCTCTCTGCTGTGGCCCGGGAAGGCAGTGGAGGATGGCCCAAGTGCTTGGGCCCTGCACCCTCATGGGAGACCAGGAGAAGCACCTGGCTCCTGGCTTCAGGCTGGGGTAGCACCTCGGCTGTAGCAGTCATCTGGGGAGTGAACCAATGGAAGGAAGACCTTTCTCTCTTTATCTCTCTCTTACTGTCTAACTCTGCCTGTCAAAAAAATTTTTTTTATTTGAAAGGCAGATCAATGTCGGGGCAGATAGAGAAAGGGGGAGAGAGAGAGAGAGAGAGAGAGAGAGAGAGAGAGAGAGAGAGAGAATCTTCCATCTGCTGGTGCTTCCCAGTGCCCAGAACAGCCATATCTGAACAAAGCTCTAGCCAGGAGCTGGGAACTCCATCGCCGTCTGCTTGGGCCATCTTCTACTTTCTTCCTAAGTATATTAGTAGGGAGCTGACTTGGAAATGGAGTAATTGGGACTTGAACCAGAACTCCAACATGGGATGCCAATTTCAGAAGTGGCAGCTTAAACCATTGAGCCACAATGCTGGCCCCACCAGCACCATTTCTTGAAGTCTGTCCTTCCTTCATTGCATTTCCTTTGTGCCCTTGAGAAAAATAATTGGCCATGTTTATATGTAGTAATTTATAGACTTTCT